GGAGAAGATTGAGATTTTTTTTTAAAAAAATTCGAAGTCTGGAGGAGAAAGACGAAGTCGCAGCTTTTATTAAGTGTTGCGACGGATATTGCAGTCGCAACCCGTCGCAAAACGAAAAATAAACCGCGAAAATTTAAAATTTTTCATCGAAAATAGCGGAAAAAAATAAAATTTAGATTTGCGACAGAAATTTCTGTCGCAAATCCGTCGAAAAACAAAAAATAAACCACGAAAATTTGAAAATTTTCATCGAAAATAATAAAAAAATGAAATTATGATTTGCGACAGAAATTTCTGTCGCAAATGCCAAAAATAAATAACTTTAATTTAAAAATAAATAAAATTAATATTTGCGACAGAAATTTCTGTCGCAAATCTGTCGCAAATCCGCAATTTTAAAATTTGTCGCAAATAATGTTTGGTTCTGCGACGACAACGTTTCCGTCGTATTCCGTCGCAAATTTGCGACGGATTTTGCGACTAATTGTGACAGAATAAAAAATTTCGCATTCCGTCGCAAATTCGTCGAATTCTGTCGTAATTTCTTTGCGACGGAAAAATTCCGTCGCAAATTCCGTCGCTATATTAAGATTTTCTTGTAGTGTTTGAGAATGCAGATTTTTTTTTTTCATTTTGTTTTGGAGTATGTAACATATAATGTTCCCATTCTAGGATCTTTTTAACCATTATTCCCAACAGAACAGACCCTATATTTGTATTTTATTTCAGAATACAGATTTTTTGCATTATGTTTCGGGGCATAAGAGATAGCGTTCCCATTCCAGGTCTCTTTGCCCATTATTCCCAACAGAACAGACCATATGTTTCCATCTTATTTGAGATGCGGGATTTTGGATTATGTTTCGGGACAAGTAACCCATAGCTTACCATTCCAGGGCCGGTTTATTAGCCATTGTTCCCCACAGAACGGACCTTATATTTTCATCTCATTTGAGAATGCAGATTTTTGCATTACGTTTCGGGACATGTAACAGATAGTGTTCTCGTTCCAGAGTTTGTTTAGCCATTTTTCCCAACAGAACAAACTCTCTATTCGCATATCTTTTAAGAATGCAGATTTTGGGAATAGGTTTCGGGATAAGTAACATATAGTTTTCCATTCAAGGGTCTGTTTTGACGTTATTCCCATTTTCCAACATAACAGACCCTCTATTTGCATCTCATTTGAGAATGCAAATTTTTTTTTTATTTTGTTTCGGGTCATGTAATAGATAGGGTTCCCATTCCGGAGCCTTTTTAGCTATTATTCCCAACATAATAGATCTACCTTTGTATCTCCTTTTGAGAATGCAGATTTTTTTCATTTTGTATCGGATCATGTAACAGATACCGTTCCCACTCCAGAGTCTATTTAGACATTTTTCCCAATAGAACAAACCATCTATTTGCATTTCATTTGAGGATGCAGATTTTTGGAATATGGTTCGGGACAAGTAACATATAGAGTCCAAAATAACAGACCCTCTATTTGCATCTTATTTGAGAATGCATATTTTTTTTCATTTTGTTTCGGAGGATGTAACAAATAACGTTCCCAGACCCTATATTTGTATTTTATTTCAGAATGCAGATTTTTTGCATTATGTTTCGGGGCATAACAGATAACATTTCCATTCCAGGTTTGTTTGCCCATTATTCCCAACAGAACAGACCATATGTTTCCATCTTATTTGAGATGCGGGATTTTGGATTATGTTTCGGGACAAGTAGCCAATAGCTTACCATTCCAGGGCTTGTTTATTAGCCATTGTTCCCCACAGAACAGACCTTATATTTTTATCTAATTTGAGAATGCAGATTTTGGGAATATGTTTCGGGACATGTAACAGGTAGCATTGTCATTCCAGAGTTTGTTTAGCCATTTTTTCCAACAGAACAAACTCTCTATTTGCATCTCTTTTGAGAATGCAGATTTTGGGAATATGTTTCGGGACAAGTAACATATAGTTTCCCATTCAAGGGTATGTTTTGACGTTATTCCCATTTTCCAACATAACAGACCCTCTATTTGCATCTCATTTGAGAATGCATATTTTTTTTTCATTTTGTTTCGCGTCATGTAACGGATAGCGTTCCCATTCCAGATCTGTTTGCCCATTATTCCCAACAGAACAAACCATATGTTTCCATCTTATTTGAGATGCGGGATTTTGGATTATATTTCGGGACAAGTAACCAATAACTTACCATTCCAGGGCCTGTTTATTAGCCATTGTTCCCCATAGAACGGATCTTATATTTTCATCTCATTTGAGAATGCAGATTTTTGCATTACGTTTCGGGATATGCAACAGATAGCGTTCTCATTCCAGAGTTTGTTTAGCTATTTTTCCCAATAGAACAAACCCTCTATTTGCATCTCCTTTGAGAATGCAGATTTAAAGAATATGTTTCGGGACAAGTAACATATAGTTTTCCATTCAAGGGTCTGTTTTGACGTTATTCCCATTTTCCAACATAACAGACCTTCTATTTGTATCTCATTTGAAAATGCGGGATTTTTTCATTTTGTTTCGCATAATGTAACAGATAGCGTTCCCATTCCGGAGCCTTTTTAGCCATTATTCCCAACATAATAGATCACCATTTGCATCTCCTTTGAGAATGCAGATTTTTATGTTTGGTGTCGGGAAATATAACAGATAGCGTACCCATTTCAGGATCTGTTTAACCATTATTCCCAACATAATAGACATATATTTGCATCTCATTTGAGAATGCATAATTTTTTATTTTGTTCCGAGACATGTAACAGATAGCGTTCCCATTCCAGGTCTCTTTGTCCATTATTCCCAGCAGAACAGACCCTCTGCATTTATCTCATTTGAGAATGCAGATTTTTGCATTACGTTTCGAGACATGTAACAGATAGCGTTCATATTCCAGAGTTTGTTTAGCCATTTTTCCCAACAGAATACAATAAACCCTCTATTTGCATCTCTTTTGAGAATGCAGATTTTTGCATTACGTTTCGGGACATGTAACAGACAACGTTCCCATTCTAGTGTTTGTTTAGCCATTTTTCCCAACAGAACAAACCTTCTATTTGCATCTCATTTGAGAATGCAGATTTTTTCCCTTTCGTATCGGGTCATATAACAGATAACGTTCCCATTCCAGAGTATGTTAAGCTATTGTCCATTATTCCCAACAGAGAATACCCTCTGCATTTATCTCGTCATTTGAGATTTAGAGGATGCATCATGAGGGTCTATCGAATCCAAGATATTCTAGAATAAACCCACTGCAAACATCTACTAACAGATAACGTTCCCATCTTGTTCCTATTCATGCAAAAATTAAACCAACTTACATGGGTCGGAGTTCTACTCGTGTCAGATCCAAGACAAAGTCCAGAACAAACCTATATGCGACATCTTTCTCAGATAATGTACAGATAATAATTCCATTCAGGTAAAAATTCAAACAAGGAAGAGATGAATCTTAAAGATACGTGTCGAGCTTTTCAAGAACTTACAGGTTCGCAACGTGATTTAGGATTTCACCGGAGGCGTTCTTGGTTTCAAGCTCTTCAATCTTTAACAGATCTCCGAAATCGATCTTGATCTCCTTGTGAAACTTTAATCGGCGATTAAATATCAGAACCGAGAGACCCCCCAATAAGACCCAATAAAAGAGGAAGATCTGAATATTCAGAGCGATACACAATTCCCATCTCTTTGACCTTCTCTGAAATAACCCATAGATATCAATTTGTGACATTCGACTGAATTCCAGAGGCGCGTCTCCATCTAGGGTTTCACCGCATAGAGATGTAACGAAAAGCAAATCGAAGCCAGATAGAAACTCTGTCGTTTATAAAAGCCGGCCTATTATATATATACACATATGAGGGAGAGAGCTGACCGTTGGATCAGCCAATATGTAGGTTAGATGTTTAAGATTCAAAACCCACCTTAATCCGATAGTCAATTTCAAAATGAGAAATCCATCTTGCTATTATTTAACAAATGAGGTTTGATAATTACAACAAAAGTTAAAACCGAACCCTCAACTTTTCATACAATTTTTAATAGATATAAATATATAATATAATTTTGAATGTGTCCGAATAAATTATGTATATATATGTCTATATATATGTTATATGTATGTAATGTATAGTATATATGTATATGTACATATATGTAAATATGTAACTATATATATTTGTGTAATAATGAGAACACATAAAACAAATCATTCATATCGATTTTATATAACATCTATACAATATACTAATATTTACTTTCTTGTTTTTATTTTTTAAAATAAATAATTTTATAATAATTTATATTTTTAAAAATTAAAAAAATACATATTTATACTAAATCTATA